AAATTCATGTCATTGTCACATGTAAAATATTTTCATTCCATCGTATCATAGCAAATTTCTTAAATCAACTTCAAGTCCAAAATTCAAAAATTCCTCTTCATCTGTGAAATTGAGAATACAAATTATCAGCTTCCAAAGTACAATGGTGCAACAGGCAGGCACAAGCTAGACATTTCCATCACAAATGGGAGAAACTGGAGGGAAAGAAGGGATAACTGGCACCAAGCAAGTCAGTGACACACATTACATTAGCTCTCAAGGTTTAAAACTAATCCTCTGTTCTCTGAGACCATATATACAATGGCCCTGCCTTCCAGACTCCGGGTGTTGGCCGCACTCTCCTGGTTCTGGGTAGAGACCCCTCAGCCCCGGGCTTCAGCTCCACCTCCCAGGCCCACTGAAATGGCAACTCTGCTCCCTCTGCTTTGGGTGGCACCATTCTCCTAGTCCATCTGAGTGGCACCTCCACCCTCTGAGAACCCAGAGTTCGTGGCCACACCCTTTGAGACTAAGGCAGCTCTGCTTCCTCTGTTCCTTGTCTCTTCAGATTCTGCTTCCTGGTTCCTTGGCCTCTCCAGCCCCTCGGGGCTTACCACCAGTGTCTGCCCTGATGGGGCAAGTGTTCCAAGCTTTTCAGCTCCACCAGTAAGTGCCTGAGGGCATTCCACTCCACCAGTAAACTGTGGCTGGAAGGCACTCAGCTTTCTGGCTCCAAGGGTCAGCAAGCCTAGCTCCACCAAAAAATGCCTGGAGGCATCCCACTCCACCAGGAAGTATCCTGCACAAAGGCACTCAGCTCTCTCACTTGTTGGATGGCTGTTTCCCACTGGTTTCCTGGTTCTGCTGCTGCCACTTCTTTGCTGCTGCTTCTCACCATCTCTGCCATCTACAGTATAATAGCTCTCCTCACTTCCAAGTCCTCACCAGGATTGTCTTTGACGTCCAAAATTCAACCAACAGTCTCTTTAAGGCTTTTATTATTAGGCACTTTAAAACTCTTCCAGCCTTTATCCACTCACAGTTTCAAGACTGCTTCCACATTTTAGGTATCTGTTAGAGCACCACCACACTCTCTTGGTACCAAATTTTGTCTTAGTTATCTAGTGCTGCTATAATAGAAGTACCACAAGACCACAAGTAGATGGCTTTAACAAGGAGAAATTTATTCTCTCACAGTTTGGGAGGCTACAAGTCCAAATTCAAGGTGCCAGCTCCAGGGGAAGGTCCTTGTCTTCAATCTTCCCCTGGTCTAGGAGCTTCCCACCACAGGAACCCTAGGTGCAAAGGATGCGCTATTTTCCTGGCTCTTGTTTCTTGGTGGTATGAGGTTCCCCTGTCTCTCTGCTTGCTTCTCTCTTCTATATCTCAAAAGAGACTGACTCAATATACAACCTAATCTTATAGACTAAGTCCTGTCTCATTAACATAACTGCCTCTAATCCTTCCTCATTAAGATCATAGAGGTACAATTTACAATATATAGGAAAATCAAATCAGATGACAAAATGGTAGACAATCACATAATACTGGGAATCATGGACTAGTCAAGTTGGCACATTATTTTTTGGGGACACAATTCAAACAAGCTGAAATGTCCTTCAGTGGGAGAATGGATAAACTAATGATAAACACAAAAATATGGATGAATCTCAATGACACACTTAGCATCTTAGTTATCTAGTGCTGCTGTAGCAGAAATACCACAAGTGGATGGCTTTAACAAACAGAAATTTATTCTCTCACAGTTTAGGAGGCTACAAATCCGAATTCAGATTACTGGCTCTAGAGGAAGTCTTTCTCTCTCTGTTAGGTCTGGGGGAAGGTGCTTGTCATCAATCTTCCCCTGGGTTTAGGAGTTTCTCAGTGCAGGGACCCAGGGTCTAAAGGATATGCTCCACTCCTGGCTCTTCCTTCTTGGTGGTAGGAGGTCCCTCTCTCTGCTTGCTTGCTTGCTTAATCTCTTTCATATCTCAAAAGAGACTGACTTAAGATACAACGTAATCCTGTAGATCATATCCTGCCTCATTAACACCATAGAGGTTAGGATTTACAACACATAGAATAACTACATCAGATCACAAAATGGAGGATAATTACATAATACTGAGAATCACGGCCTAGCAAAGCTGACACATATTTTGGGGGGCCACAATTCAATCCACAACACTGAGTGAAAAAAATCATTTTCAAAATACTACAGACTGTATGCCTGCATTTATGTGACACTGTGGAAAAGGCAAAATTATAGGTAGAGAAAACATCAGTGATTGCCAGAAGGGGTAGCAGTATGCATCAACTACAAATGTGGCAGCACATGGGAATTTTCTGGAGCAATGAAACTGTTCAATATCATAATTGTGATGATACCTGTATGAGTCTATACAGGTCTTCTAATTCACAGAACCATACACCAACAAATAAACACATACAAATAACACCAACAAATAAACACATACACACACACACATCTTTATTATGGTGGTGGTTGCAAAGATGTATACATTTATGGAAACCATACAACTTAAAATGGATAGATTTCATTGTATGCAAATTAATCCTCAATTAAAAACCAAAAACCAAACCCATTGCCATCAAGTCGATTCCAACTCATAGCAATCCGATAGGACAGAAAAGAACTGCCCCATAGGGTTTCCAAGGAGCAGCTGGTGGATTCGAACTGCCGACCTTTTAGTTAGCAGCCAAGCTCTTAACCACTGCACCACCAATCCTCAATAAATTTTATTTTTAAAAAGAGCAAAAGAAAATATCAATAGCCAATCAACATATGAAAATTTTTTAACATAATTAACCATCAGGGAAATGGAAATTAAAAAACCTAAAAGTCCACCAAAAGAATTAGATAAAAAAATTATGGTATATTCATATAATGGAATATTACTTAGCAATAAAAAGGAACAAACCACTGACAGATGCAAAACATGGATGAATCTCAACAACATTTTACTCAGCAAAAGAAGACACAAAGGAGTACATACATATCATATGGTTCCACTTTTACGAAGTCTAAGAACAGGCAAAACTACTTTATGGAAACAGAAATCAAAAGATTGGTTTCAAGGAGTAGGGTGGTTTTATGGATTGAACTGTATCTCCCAAAAAATGTGTGTCAAGTTGGCTAGGCCATGATTCCCAGTACTGTGTGACTGCCCACCATTTTGTCATCTGATATGATTTTCCTATGTGTTACAAATCCTACCTCTATGATGGTAATGAGGCAGTTATATTAATGAGGCAGGACTCGATCTACAAGATTAGGTTGTATATTGAGTCCATCTCTTTGAGATATAAAAGAGAGAAGCCCAGAGAGGCAGGGGGATGTCATTCTGCCAAGAATGAACAACCAGGAGAATAGTACATCCTTTGGACCTGGGTTCTCCGCACTGAGAAACTCCTAGACCAGAAGCTTGTCATCTGACCTGCCCACTTTGGGTTTCACCGTCTCCTTCAGCCCTGTGAGCCAGGAGCCTGCCATATGACCTGTCGATTCTGGGTTCGTCAGCCCCTGCAATTACGTGCGTCAGGAGAAGCCTCCAGCTGACACCTGATCCATGGACTTTGGGACTTGCCAGCCTCCACAACCGCGTATATATATGTATATATGTGTGTGTGTGTATATATATATATATATAAAGAGAGAGAGAAACAAAGTGTGTGTGTTCGTATGTACACACATATATATACATACACATGCTTCACATAGTTTTGCTTCCCTACAGAACCCAGCCTAAGACAGTAAGTATGTTCACATGATCAGTAAATGAAATACAATAATTCTTTATGGTGATACTGAGGTCCCTTCTCTCTCTGCTTGCTTCTCTCTCTTATCTCTTGTAAGACAGAAGACGACGCAGGCCACATTCCAGGGAACCTCCCCTTACATAGGATCAGGACTGTGACCTAAGTAAGGGTGGTTACTTAAGTAAGGGTGATACATCGTCCCCTAATCCTGTCTTGTTAATATAAAAAAGACAACCTAGTCCTCTTTAACATATTCTAATCCTGCCTCATTAATCACAAGCAAAGGTTAGAATTTATAACACATCACAAAATGGAGGATAATCACACAATACTGGGAATCATGGCCTAGCCAAGTTGACACATATTTTGAGGGGACACAGTTCAATCTATAACAGAAGACATAAGAAAATTTGATGTATCTGAATTGTCGTGTTAGCAAAGAATCCATGGACTGCAAGAAAAATGAATAACTCAGTCAGTCTTAGAAGAAATACAACCAGAATGCTTCTCAAAAGTAAAGATGAAGAGACTTAAGCTCGTTTACTTTGGGCGCATCATCAGGAAAAACCAATTGCTAGAAGCGGATATCGTGTTTGGTAAAGTGGGGGGTCAGCAAAAAGTGAGGGAAACTCTTAATGACATGGATTGACACAGTAGCCACAATAATGGACTCAAACATAGCAATGGTAATGAAGATTGCACAGGACCAGGCAACATTTCACTGTATTATACATAAGGGCACCATAAGTCAGAGCCAACTCAATGGCAACTTACAACAACATAGTGCTATCTTAAACTTCATTCATTAGAGTCCTATTTCTCAACAATAACAAAATCAAAGTCTAGATTTAAAATCAAACTATGTTTTGAAATATAGTTGTGTCACCCTTTAATAAATACCCTCTCAAACTTCTAAGACAGGCAAACAGCAAAAAAAAGCAAAGAATTCTACTAAACTTAAAACTGTAGTAAGCTTAAGATACAATTTATGTTACAATAATGAGATTTACGTTTCATAAAAAAAAAACCATGCATAACAAGGTGCACTTAAATTTAAACTGAAGAATACCCTAACCTCAAAGCATCATTTTATCAATATACACAAGAAAAAAATAATTTAAATCCTATATTTAAGTAATGAAAGACCAAAAGGAAGACATATAAGAAAACAAAAATTTGTTTCACTAAAACACTTTAAACACACCAAATAAAACTATATACTTAAAAGAAAGTAGTTTTACCTCCTGCAAAGGGAGATTCCAGCGTTCTGAGCTTCTGAGTTTGGACAGTGACGACTGAACATGAATATCCTCTGGTTTTGCATTTAACATCTTTGTTATCCGAAACTAGGGTGAGAAAATAATCAGTTTAATATAAATAAAAGCTGGATCAGGTAACAGAACCATTATATTACCCTGCATTAATACTTTGCTATTTGTTTTAAAAGTTCCAAATTCAGTATTTAATTCATACACAGTTAAATATAATTTTATAAGAGAAAACACAATAAAAACCTTTCAATGAGCATAAAGGCAGGTAGATACATGAAGTATCACACCAGCTTCCTAATTATTTTCTTGGCTATGTCTCTTTGCATTCTAATCTTTCAAACACTACCCCTAGAGTTCTCTAATAAATCTAACTATGGCTACAATACTTAAAATGCAACAATGGTACCCCATTATTTATAAATAAAACTCTTTACAATCTGGGCTCCTTCACATCACCCACACATTGCAAACTCTATTCCCAACCACAAAGTTACTAACCATTGCCCAAACATGTAACGTTATATCTCTAGACCTTTATATATACTGCCCCTCCAACCTAGAACGCCTGTCCCTCTATTTTCCCTTGGTGAAGTATTCCAGGTTCTACTCAAAATTATTCCCTCATCCACGCAACTGCCACCCTTACACGAAGGCATTTCTTTCTCTGGATATTAATATTTGGTACATTTCTATTACTTATTTTTATTACACATATTAGACTATATTAAAATTATTTGTCTACATTAACTTCTTCACATTGTGGAGCTCCCTTAAAGAGAGGACCGTCTTATTCACCTTTGTATCTCCAAAGTGCATGGCTCATGATATGCTGAATAAATGAATGAATGAATTTAGAGGCTGTAGCCACAGTTTGAAATCATTTGTTCAGAACTTAAATATCTTCACTTTTACACTGAAAGAAATATATAATTGATGGTTAAGCTTCAAGTTCAGGCTACAATATGTAACATATAATAACTAATATATCAACTGCAACCAATAACAATCCAGAAAATCATTTCTATGAGAGGAAAGCATAAGTCAGGGTCATTTGTCTTTTTCTTAAGTTGTTGAAACTTTATACAGTCATACGCCGTTGTCGCGCAACATCCAACCACATATACATCCGTTGTCCAGCATGCTCCCTCCAAGGGATGCCCACAGTCCGACCAGGCAGTGAGCCCACCCCGCCACCTCCCACCCATGGGAACAGGTACCCCTGCCACTGGGAGAAGTGGGCACCCACTCCTGCTCCCGAGTGTCCAAGGTCGGCAGGCATCTCGGAATCCAGCTAAGGCAGGGGCACCAGGTCGCCAAGACCACTCCCCTGCTGCCCGGGCCAGAGCTTCCCCACCGTAACCTTCACAGGGATGCAGGGCTGTGCGCAGGGAAGGACACAGTCCAGTGCTTGTCTGAGGCTCCGCAGCAGGAGCTGCCTGGGCCTCGCGAAACACAGCAGCCCCTGGGCGCATGCACTCCATGCCCCACAGATGCAGGTGTTCATACAATGTCCAAATCACATAACATCCTATTTCATAGAACATATCTTGGACGTTAAGCAACGCATGACTATATATATTTTGGTTATTAGAGTCTCATCAGATATGTGGTTTCTGAACATACTTTACTAGTCAGTCACTTGTCTTCACTTTTTTGGTAGTCTTTGGATGAATAAAAGTTTTTATTTTTATGAGGTACATTTATTTGTCTCTTGCTGTTCATGCTTTTGTTATTATATTAGATAATCCACTGTTAAAAGCTAGGTCCAACAGTCTTGCCTCTGCATCTTCTTCTAAGAATTATATGGTTTTAGTTTTCACATTTAGGTTCTAAATCCATTTTGAATTTGTTTTTGTCTATAGTGTGAAGCATGGATCCTGTTTCATTTTTCTGCATGTGGAAATCCAATTTTCCCAGCATCATTTACTGAAGAAACTCTTCTTTCCCCACTGAATTGACTTAGCACCCTTGTCAAAAGTCAGCTGACCATAGATACGTGGGTTTGTTTCTGGACTCTAAGTTCTATTCCATTGGTCTATGTGTCTATTGTTATATGAGTACTAGGCTGTTTAGATTAGTATAGATGTATAATATGTTTTAAAATCAGAAAGTCTAAGTCCTATTTTTTCGTCTCCTTCAACACTGCTTTAGCTATTTGGGGCCTCTTACCATTCCACTGAGGAGGGTTTTTCCCATTTCTCTAAAGAAGGCTGTTCAAATTTTGATGCCTCATATTCTTAACTCTCTCTCTCTCTCTCTCTCTCTCTCTCTCTTTCCCTCCCTCCCCCCAACCCTCTCCTTACTTTCACTCTCACTCTCAATTTCTCTCTCTCTCTCTGAACACAGACCTTGGGAGCCCTAAGCCAATATAAAAGAAACTCAGATAACCTGATGCTGCTATGCTTGAGAAATCATACAGAGAAGCTAAACAGAGATAAAGATGCCTGAGAAGCCCCCAGATGTTTGAGTCTTCCCAGCACAGGTATCAAAACATATGAGTGAGTAAGCCTTAAATGAGTCCATCCCCAAGCCTCCAAACCAACACAGCTGACTTCAAGTGGAACTAAGAAAAGCTATCACCAATCGAACCCTGCCCAGCCTGCAGATCCATGAGCAAAATAAGTTAAACCACTAAGTTTTGGGGTAATTTGTTACACAGCCCTGGTAATAACTTAAAAGGAGATCAAGTTCAAAATTAAGATTTCCCAAGAATAAGAGTTGAGTACAGGTGTTGAGTATTTTAACTTTATAAGACTATGGATGTCCTCTGTGGGAGATTTTATATTCTTTTTTCACAGTAATTAGTTTTTATCATTATACCTTTCAGCAGCTTAGACAGATGTCATTGAATTACTCAGCCTATTGTCGTGGATTGAATTGTGTCCCCCAAAAATATCTGTCAACTTGACTAGGTTATGATTCCCAGCATTTTATGATTGTCTACCATTTTGTAATCTGATGTGATTTCCCTATGTGTTGTATATTCTATCACATGATGTAATAAGATGGATTAGTGGCAGTTATATTGATGAGGTCTACAAGATTAGATAGTGTCTTAAGCCAATCTCTTTTGAGATACAAAAGAGAGAAGCAAGCAGAGAGAAATGGAGACCTCATACCACCAAGAAAGCAATGCTGGGAGTAGAGCATGTCCTCTGGACCTGAGGTTCCTGCGCAGAGAAGCTCCCAGACCAAGGGAAGACTGATAACATCACAAGGACCTTCCTCCAGATCTGACAGAGAGAGAAAGCCTTCCCCTGGAGCTGATGTTCTGAATTTGGACTTGTAGTCTACTAGACTGTGAGAGAATAAATTTCTCTTTGTTAAAGCCCTCCACTTGTGGTATTTCTGTTACAGCAGCACTAGATAACTAAGACTCCTATTTATTCATATATACTTCCATTAGGATTGTCACAAAATATTATCTATCCCACTTTCAAAAAGGACAGCTTTCTACTTTCCCCAAAGTACAGATACACGTGCAATCTGCATATTTATAAAAATTATAAGCCATCATCAAAAGCCTTAAAAAATGATCATATACTCTCTTTCTGCGATCTACTTTTAGGAATTTATATCCTAAAGAAAAAAAATCAAAGAATATATAAATATTTATGAATACGGATATAGACTAGCTAGTACTTACAATACAGAAAAACCAGAAACAATTATAATAAAAAAACTAAAATTCTGGTAAAGTTAAACAATACCATACAGTTGTTATTAAATATATTCCAGAAGAATATTTTGTTTCCAATGCAATAAGTGCAAAAGAAAAGCATATTTACAGAACGATCCCTCTTTTATAAGACAGAAAAAATCCATGTATATGAAAAAAATATGAAAGGATATATACCAAAATTAACAGTGATTATCTCTAAATAGTGGGATGACAAGCAATTTTTACTTTAGTTTTTGTGTTTTCTTCTAGTTTCTAAATGTTTTACTTTTTAATAGAAACACCATTCAATTGTTAAAGGCTAGGAAAAAAACAAACATGTAAAGCTCAAGAAAAATCTCTCCTACAGCTTTCTTTTCAATAAATTGCAGGTCTAAATCTTTCTAAAATCATGTATGAGAGACAAGTAGATTTCAGGTACAACTATTCTACTGTCAATTTTTTTACACTTACTTTCTTCTTAATTATTAGTTGATCAAAAAAAATGTAAACCTTCTGCAACATTCTCTATGTTCTCAGACAAATTTTAATCCTGGTCTCAACTGTGTACATTTAACAAAGATTCAAAGCTATTAATGATGCTGCAAAGCTTACAAACCTACTCCTCACTTATCAACTATCTTGTTATCTGACATTTTGCATTTACAATTGTAAAAAATATACTATCCGACTATTTTGTGCATTAACAACATACGTCTGGCAAAAACAAATGCCGAGGTGCAAGGCGAGAATAACTCTAGCTGTGATGGTTAAGGTTATGTATCAATCTGCCTGGGCCATGATTCTCAGTGGTTTGACAGTTACGTAAAGATGTAAACTGGCAGTTCTGTAATGATGTAATGATGTAGTCATCTTCCATTTTGTAATCTGATGTGGTCATTCTCCACTTACGCATAACGCTGATTTTCGCATAACGACCTGGTCTTTGGAACCTAACCATGCAGATAAGTGAGGAGCCGATGTATTACAATCAGGTCGATAAGTGAGGAGTGGGTGTATTATAATCAGCGTTTTAAACCCGTATATTCCGGTTCGAACCCCTACTGAGAAATTTGCTTTTCTAACAAGATCTCCTAGGGGATGCCAATGATTTAATCTTAAAATGTAGACTCTGATTCAGAATATCTGGGGTGGAATCACTGAAATTCACTGGGAACTTGTTAGAAATGCATATATCTCAGCAGGGGTTCATACCAGAATGAACCAGTTCAAAGCCCTGATTATAACTGCATTACAAGAATCAGAATAGAGCACAAAGACTAGAAAAGAAACTAGATAACTGGCAGCTCCTAAAAATCAAACACTTATGCTCATCAAAAAACTTCACCAAAAGAGTCAAAAGACAACCTACAGACTGGGAAAAACTTTTCAGCTATGACATATCCAATAAGGGTCTAATCTGTAAAATCTACAAGATAACTGCAAAACCTCAACAACAAAAAGACAAATAACCCAATTAAAAAATGGGCAAAGGATATGAACAGACCTTCGCCAAGGAAGATGTTCAGGTGGCTGACAGGTACATGACGAAATGCTCACGATCATTAGCCATTAGAGAAATGCAGATCAAAATTACAATGAGATACCATCTCACCCCAAGAAGGCCGGCACTAATCCAAAACACACAAAATAATAAATGTTGGAGAGGCTGTGGAGAGACTGGAATACTTATCCACTGTTGGTGGGAATGTAAAACGGTACCACCACTTTGGAAATTGATTTGGCGCTTCCTTAAAAAGATAGAAATAGAAGTACCATATAATCCAGCAATCCCACTCCTTGAAATATATCCAGAGAAATAACAGCTGTCACATGAATTGATATACACAAACCCATGTTCACTGCAGCACTGTTCACAATAGCAAAAAGATGGAAATAACCTAGGTGCCCAGCAACAGACAAATAGATAAATTATGGCACAGACACACAATGGAATACTACGCAACAATAAAGAACAATGATGAATCCACGATATGGCACATACACACAACGGAATACTACGCAATGATAAAGAACAATGATGAATCCGCGAAACATTTCACAACATGAATGAACCTGGAAGGCACTATGCTGAAATTAGTCAGTCACAAAAGGACAAGTACTGTATGAGACCACTATTACAAGAACTCAATAAAGGGTTTAAACACAAAAGAAACATTCTTTGATGGTTACAAGGGTGGGGAGGGAGGAAGAGGAGATTCACTAACTAGATAGTAGATAAGAATTATCTTAGG